GTAAATATGTATATATAATTAGTCATGAAAGTGTTTCAATAAAGTTTAAAAAATTGTATCGTATTTATTAAAATAAAAGTTCTTTTTATCGTGTTTCACATAAACGTACTATATTTATATAGATGCTGATAGAAAAATACATTTATAGGAAAAGTTAGCATCTAATAGAAAAGTTAATATGTGTTCATACATTTCGGGTATTAGGTTGCATTGTTTTAATATTTTGTTTTAAAAAGATAAATATTAATATGACCTTTTAAAATTCAAAAAAAGTTTGGTATATTGTAATACCATTTTAGCTTGTACATCAAATTTTTTCAATATAGAAAATCGTACAGATGTATATGCTGTTTACTACTACATATTTTTTGTAGTTTTAAGCAATCCTTTCAGTAAGGTGAAATGTTTTTTATGTATAAAATTCAAAAAATTCTTAACTAGTTAATAACAACATTGTAAACAATAAGGATCAATTTCATCGCGTAGTGTTAGAAGAAATATTAAATGTATAAGCATTTTCCGCACCACCTAAGAGGTATGCTTGCTGGCGCGTTACCAAGTTTTTGGTGTTCGGTTCCCCAATAGGCCTATCCACCAAAATATTTTATTTAACAAATATACAATTTTATGTAAATACAATTTAGAATAACTTAATATATACAAAACAATATTACTATTTTAAAAATATTTAATATTAAACCAAAAATAATAAGGAACTATTAAATTAAGGATAAATTGTAAATAAATTTAATAAATTATAAAATTAAAAACTAAAATGTTTTATGTTTAAGCAAAAAATCATTTAAAGAGTATGAACACTTTTGTGCTGTTTATAAGTGTTGAAAGTATAATTGTTTATGTTTAAAATTCAAAACTTTATTATCTCGATTAAAAAATTTTAAAATGAAAAATTGTGATTCTAATTTTTCAATATATGTAGTAAAAGGAGGAGGTGGTTAAACTAAATGGCAATTTTGGAATTGCTTTTCTATTATGAAAATATTGGTTACTGAAAGGTCACTAATGTGTGGAAAAGTCGACAGACAATTATGATTAATTTGCATTTTTAAAAAAAGACACCCACATATATAAGAGAAAGCATTACGATTTAAAAATATTTTAAGGTCTACATCTATATTAAAATGGCAATTATTAAGAAATGCGTTATGATCTTTATTTATGTCTATTTCCAGGAAGTATCTAAAACAAGCTTATCTGTACATGAAATTGAAAGGAATGGGTTAATATTATGGCAGTCGAAATTAGGGAAATATTCGCAATTACCGTTAACAATGTTAACATATTGCACGCCCCATTTTTTTTGAAAGAGACACGAAAACATATGAGGTGTTTTTCTTGTACAATTACCACCTCCTCTTCTAATTTCACCAAAAAAAATGTTCTAACCGATCTTGGCAAAGTTTTCTGGTCAATAAAACTTGAAAACCTTTTGTGGAAAGAAATTGCCTATTTATATTATTATATTTATATTTATATTAAGAAGCCAGCCATTAATAGAAAAAAATGAAGGCTTAATATTTATAGCACCACTATCTTCAATATTCAGAGACTTAAGTAAACTTTGTGCCTTTTAAGAAATTGAATTTGCTCAACTGAGCCACAGAAACCTGCTTTGAAATTAAGACCTGTAATGTTGCTAGAATTAAATATATCAAAAAGGTTATTGATAAATTGAATGAAATCTATAGTATTGTTAAATGTTATAGTATTATCTATTAAATAGTCTGAATTATGTATAGTTTTCATACCTGTAGCAACAGTGTTGCTGAAAATTTGTGCTGCGAAAGTAACGTTCATTTTATGAAACGAATCGTGTCTAATATGTGCGTTTGTCAGTTTAGGCGCACATTTTAAACTATTTTTTGAATCGATACTGTAGAATAATACAATATCTTCCCAAGAGACTTTTAAGCTTTTAAAATATAAACAATTTTTGCTATTTTCTAAACAGTTTCGTGTGCTTTTCAGCAAGTGAGGCGAATTATGAAATAAATAAATTTTACCACCATTCACCTCAAAAAATGAATTGTCTTCGCTAACTCCTAAGCTTTTGGCTAAACAAATAAAATTTTTTGCTTGATCAAAAACAAAATGGCATGAATTTAATCCTATACTTCGAAGTTGCTTAATTACTTCAATTAGATATCTCTTTATAACTGTCGCTTTACAACTACTACTAGTAAAGAAGTAAGCAAAAGGCTGTGACCATTTATCTCCACCAATTCCTTGAACTAAAAAGGTAAAAGCACTACTTGCAATTTTGGAACTGCGATTCTCGTCACCATAATATTCAAGGACAACAATTTTATCGTTGTCCCTATCATATTGCAGGAGAGTTTTTAGAGAAATTTCGTTACAGGAAATTGAAACATACTTCTGAGCGTATGTGAAGTTCCGACTACGAAATTCAAGGGACTTAAGGCTACTATTTATGCAGCCTGGAGATTTGGGCCACTTTGAAACAAACTACAAAAGAGTTCGCCCTGTTGGTCAATTACAAGAAGTTCTTAAATATTTATAGGCTATCGGAGACAGAAAAAACACTCCTAATGTGAGAGTTTTTAAAATCTATTCATACCTATAGCCGTTTACCGGCCTAAATTTTGGTCGGGCATTACTTCCCGGATTAAATTGTTCGTGCAACGCATTTTTGCAAAAAAGTGCCTATCACAGACATAAAATATCCGGTTTATGGAGTCAGTAACTCCTAACAGGACCTTCCACTCGTTTCTATAATAAAAATCATAAAACGACCATTACTTAAAATTTGTATGAATACATGTAACACAGTTTGGAGAACTATTAACCCAGTAGAAAACGGATCGATCCGTCATCGAAGACGTCTTCAAGACATGGATACATACATGAAGACCGATCGATCCAAATGTATGACGGTCTTCGAAGACGCTTTCATACAAATTAGCCAAATGTCTTCAATGAATTTTTGTGTACATGTCTCGAAGACCGTCTCGAAGACCATGTCTTGCATAACGGACGCATTCGACAGAAAGTTGTGCGCTCTTAGTGCAGTGCTCATATAATTTTTTCACCCTTTTTTTTATTTCTACTCTTTTATTGCGCTCTTTAAATTTTAAATGAATTTCAATTTTCTCTTTAAATAAGTAGAAAGAAATTGTTGTATTTTGTACTTTTATTTATTTTATATAATAATTTCTTACATTACATTCAAAATTAAAAGTTTTAAAAGTAAATTATAAATTTTATTATAAATTATTATAAATTTTATTAAGATATTAAAAATAAACTAGTAAAAACTAGTAAACATAATGAAAATTAATTTAAATAATTAACTTAATATAACTTAACATATCTAAAATTAACTAAAACTAATATAAAATAATTTATAGCATTTCGCTATCATCAATTGTTGAAGTTTTATATGTTTTCAAAAGCGTTGAAGAGGATTTTGGTACAATTAAACCTTCTGATCTTAAGAGTTCTAAAATATCATTACCACAACGCCTGTTAATCCTGTGTTTTTTAAATATAACAGCTAATTTTTCACAAGTGTTTTTAGTTTTTTTATTTTCAACATCCTTTGTTTCGTTTCTTAAACAACTTTCACTGGAATTATTGTCTTCAATATTAATATCAATATATTTTCCAGGAACTAAGTCAATATTTAATTTGTTTTGATTTAATTTCTTTTTTTTTAATATTTCATAGTTTAATGATTTTGTTTCTTTATTCATTTTGATTTTTTTAATATTTATTTCACAAATGTTTATTTACTACACTTCAAAATTATTGCGTCACTTCATTTATAAAACATAGCGTCATCTGAGGCAAAATTCAAATAAGTTGCTATGAACACTAAAAATGAGAGAGAAAGCAAAGAAAGAGTATTTACATTCATGTTTTGAGCAATTGTTTTGCAAATTTGCTTGAACATGCGGACGCGGTATCAAAGACCGTCTTGAAGACAATGTCTTCGAAGACCACTTTTTCTACTGGGAAGGAACATTTAATACAAAGATAATTGTTACGAAGAAAACAGATCACATTGACTAAATCGCAGACTTTGTTCAAGCAACAACAAAATTTGCAGCAATATAAAGTGGAATGCAATTGGGCGCCCAAGGTCTTTTGTCTGTATGATTTGAAGAAAAAAACAAACAAAAAAAATGCAAATTGTACAATATATTTTTAAAACATACAATTTTTTACACTTCTGTTTTGTTAAAATATAGTCAACATAAATTTAAAAATCTATATATAATAACAACACTCAACCAAAGTATAATTAAAAATATTAATTTCACATCAGGATTTTTCCATTTTTATAATTATTAGTATGTGATGGAAAAAATAATTTTCTAATCACTTTCAAAGTACTAAATTATAAATAACATGCACAACTTAATTCGTAGTTTATTATATACGCTAATTAGGAACACATCTAAGTTTCTAATGTGTTAATAGATTTTTATATTTACTTTATTCTACAACAATAAATTGTGTTATTTTTAATTAATAATATACCTTTGGAAAAATTATAGAGATGTTTGAAATTTAAACATCCAAGTACGCACTTCTCTTTCATCTGTAAATAAATTTTAATTAACTAATATTTCGTATATTTTTCTGGAATAATTACGTTTTTTAATGCTTTTATAATTGAAAACAAATTCCGCCTTATTTTTCGTATTTGTGCACTTAATTGCAACTTTGGCGCATTTTCTCGTAACTGATTTTTAATGTCAAAAAACCAAAACAAACAACGAAATTTCTCAGAAACTTCTCCTACTTTAGCAAATATCGAGGTGAGTAGGGACCGGGTGGGCAAAGTTGCAGGGTCCAGGTGGGGAAAATATTCACGCGCCATTATGTAGCATTAGGCTTTTTGTTATTGTACTGCGTATTATTTTCACCTCATTACACAAAATTTTGAATATTTTTTGAATAATCCAGAAAAATTTATACACAATTTTTCGAGTAACTCTCAGTTTCTTTTCTTTATCTTCTTTGGTATTATGTTACGTAATACATACAGAAAGTAAAATACATCATTTCTATATAAAATATTAATTTAATGTTAAAATATTACAACGAAGATTTAATATCAAAATTTGTAATTTTTTGATAATTTTATATTTTTGTATTACCCACTTTTACACAGTAAACAGATTCAAGCTTAAATTATGACATTGTTGCGATATTGCTAAATTTAAAGAAATAAGACGTAATTAACAGCTGCAATGAAAACATTTGACCCGGTAGATCACGGACTAGATCCAAATTTTCGGCTTACTAACTTTTCAACCTTACGTGGGTGAGGATGTAAACTACCCCAAGATGCTCTTAACAAGTACCTTGAGGAAGCAGACATAATTAGTTCCAAATATAAAATACATCAGAAAAATGACGAAAATTGTGTTGGTAAGATTACTTTTAAATATAATGTGATTTAATTCATTCCATTTTTGTAACTTTAGGTTCAGGAATGGATTGTGCTGTAATTCCGTTGCCGCGATATAAGCAGCTTTCTTTAGTACAAACTGTAGATTTCTTTTATCCGCTTTTAGATGATCCGTTTATTATGGGAAAAATAGCTCTCGCTAATGTTTTGAGTGATGTGTACGCAGTTGGAGTAACCGAAATAGACAAACTCCAAATGATTATAAGTGCTCCAGAACAATTATCGAATACTGAACGCGATGTTGTTATTCAAAAGATTATGGAAGGGTTCAAAGATAGTGCAAAATTTGCTCGTTGTAAACTTTTTGTTGATAGCATTACTGTCAATCCATGGTGCATTTTGGGTGGTGTGGCTACAACAGTTATTAAAAATGAAGAAATCATCATGTAGGTAGAAAAAAAAGCATATTTTTTGAACATGCGTAGCAATAATATTATTAAGATATATTGGCTTTTTGTACTATAAATTTTATTAACTAAATCACGTCGTTATTTAAATTGTGTGTTGCTATTGTTGTAACCCGCGTGGATTGAGTAGTGCCTTTCGGGGTTGGTGAACGGCACTTGTTCGTCGAAATTGACGAGTGGCTTCGGGGTGTAGACCCGGATGTTCACGGAATCAATCTTGGTGTTATAACTTGCTACGTAACATTTTCAATTTAGACAGTTATTAATGTATTATTTTCGTTTTTATATAATTGTAAAGGCCATATGGTGCAAGGGATGGTGACGCTCTTGTACTAACGAAACCACTAGGAACACATTTAGCTACAAGTGCTTATCTATGGATGCAAGAAAATAACGAAAAATATCAAAAACTAGCCATCCATTTAAGCAATGATCAACTAACGGAAACATTCGAAATTGCTGTGAAATCGATGACATTTTTAAATAAAAACGGTAATATATAAAATACAAGTGCAGTGTTTAACAATAATAAAATAATTTCAGCTGGAATTTTAATGCATAAGCACAATGCTCACGCTGCTACCGATGTCACTGGTTTTGGTTTATTAGGTCATACTAATAATCTCGCACTGTTTCAAAATGAATCTTTGGAATTCAAAATTACTAAAATACCTATAATTAAAAATGTGCTTAAAATTGCCAACATAACACATCAGGACACTAAACTAAAAACTGGCAAAGCAGTAGAAACTTCAGGAGGGTTACTAATCTGTTTATCACTTGCAGACGCATCTGCATTTTGTGCGGAGTTCAAAGAAGAATCAAAAGGTGAGCAGGACGCATGGATTGTAGGACATGTTGAAAAATCTGTTCAACGTAAAGGCAGCGTAATCGACAATCCTGAATTTTTGGAAATACAATTTTAATTATTATTTCAATATATATATATTTGAGATTCCAATTTATGGCGAGGTTTTCTTAAAGATTGCTTAATCAGGAGAATCTCCGATATTTTTTTTGGACTTAAGTTTATATTTTTATACAATATGATACATTGTTCATACATCATACAAATAAACCAAGAAAACATACATTTTTTAAAACAATAATTTGATCTTAAATGTAATGATGGACAATTTATATCAATCCGAAAATATTTTAGACTGATGTCGCATTATTTTGGATTCAGTCATTTACCAAAAAAAAAACAAAAGTGCTGATAGAGAGAACTATTATACTATTGAGAAACGTGTTCTACAAAAGCTTTGATTTTAAGACTACGAGAAAACATCGCAACACAATAGAATCCAAAAGCAATTTTTTTCCTAATATTGAAATTTTATTTTATCTATTTTTTCTTTTAATATAAGATTACTAGCTGACCCGGCGAACGTCTCCCCTTGCAATTAATTGTCCTTGCTCAGCTGAGTTGTAATATTTGTTGTTATTCCAATATCTGTGTAGATAAAGAGATTGTCAAGTTTAACCGTGTCATATGGCGTTTACATTGGCCGAAAATGGCTCATTTTGAATGAACCATTTGAAAGTGTTTACATTCGTTGTAATTCGTTTGTTCTCATTTCAAACAGCTGATTTTTCAACTTGCTTGTTGATTTGATTTTGGCCTGTGCCAAAAAAATATTGCATGAAGATTAAATATGCTTTCAAACCTTACAATATAAACTTAAAACATATTTTTAACTTCGATTAATTACCTTTTGGGAAGTAGAAGTTCTAAAAAGAGGTGCATCGTTTTCAAGAAAATGCAACCACCAAACATTTGTTTACCTTTTTTTGTAAACATGTCAAAAACAGCTTTCTCAAACTGTGAAAATGCCATGAAAGGCTTTTATTTAGGGTATGTTCAATGGATTCCCTTGCATTTGGAACATATGTGGAATGCATTCGAACGTCTTTCATACAGAATGTGAGAAAATTGCTCATTTTCGCGCTTGAAATTTTATATGCAAGAATGAGCCATCAGCTACTCATTTTCGATTTTTGACCAAAATGAGCCATTTTCGGCCAATGTAAACGCCGTATTAGTAGTGTCCGTATATGTCAACTTAACTTTTAGCATTTTAATGCAAAAAATAATTTTGACTTTTTTTCTTTTGAACTGCAAAAAGCCCACATGCATTACTTATGTTACAAATATTTTCATGTTATTTCAAATCCTTATAAGCACTACATTTCAAATGAAAAGGATTTTTTAATATTATATTAACATATTATTATATTATTATTATTTAATATTATATTAATTATGGGCTACTATAATGTTACCTTAAAGCTAAATCATGAGCAACATTTTTTGATAGGCCATTTTGAGCGTATATATATATATCAGAAGGTTTTTCAATACGGTAGCATGCAACATATAGTTGCCCATGCGAAAAACATGGATTTTCCAAATTTATTCCACTTACTTTTAGTTTACTGCTAAACGAATTGGAAAATGCAATCGTTTGAATTGAATTGAAACATCGGTTGGTATAATTGGTATGCGTGGAAGCAATATATTTTTTCTCTGAATTTTCCACTTAATTGTTGATTCAATTAAGTTCATCATAATTCTTTTTATAACTAATCTTGTTCCATTACATAATTTTCGTGGATTTAGATTGCGTAACAAAATGATTGGTGAACCAATTTTTAAGAACTCAGTGGGATAATTCACAATCTCGTTTTCATTTACTACTTTATCGATGGACATAAAAGAAATTAAATTACCAGGCAGTATAGCTTGAATTTTGAAATTGATTTCATAGCCATCTAAGTTTTCGACAGCCAGAATCGCTCTACTTTGAAGCCATTGATGATTCCGATAATTTTGATAGGTATGTGTTAGGTAATAAGCTTTCTATTAATTCCTCTTTCGAATTAATAACACTGGTCAACAAAGATTTTGTCGTAGAGACGTTGTTAAGAGATCCTAGACGTATTTTTCGTGCTGATTCCGAATCTGTATTTAGATTCTTTCTATCACGTCTAGATTCGTCAAAACACTTGAATGTATATTTTTGCTATAAAGTCGTAATTTACCTACTGCTCAAAAAGTATCCGGATTTTGTTGTTTGTTAACTACTTTTTAAGTAATAGACCTTTTTCAAAAATTTTTTTTGTTATGTTGGTACACTCTTTCTTGACATATGATACAAATTTCAGCGCCATCTGACAATTAGTTTGTTTACAGCAGCTGTTAATGTGAGACTACCTCAAGTGCATTTAGCGATTTTTACTATGGAAAATTCTTGTTGTACGCGATTTTTTGACCAAACACGGCACCACTGTCATCGCTCAGGCACCATATTCGCCAGATCTGGATCCGTGCGAGTTTTTTCTGTTCCCGAAACTCAAATTGCCCCTTCGTGGTAAGCGTTTTGAGTCGATTGAATCGGTAAAAGAAAATTCGCCGAAGGAACTAAAAGCCATACCTTCACGATTAAAGGGTTGGAAATTGTTGGATCCAAAAACTAAAATTTCTATGTATCGATCTCGCCATGACGAATTAAAATTATTCTTTTCTCAAGAAAACAACCTTATTTTTTGCAATGATGTTCTATCTGTTATGGATACTCTTAATTTTGAATACAACGATGATGATTGGCGTTTGTTCATTGATTCTTCTAAGGTCAGTTTAAAGGTTGTTCTCTTACATAATGGAAATGAAATTCCCTCAATACCGTTAGCCCATGGAACTGATATGAAAGAAACTTACGAGAATATGCAGTTTCTCTTAAAAAAAATTCACTACGAAAGATATAAGTGGAAAATTTGTGGTGACCTAAAAGTTATTGCAATTTTACTAGGCTTACAACTTGGTTACACGAAATATTGTTGCTTCATCTGTGAGTGGGATAACAGAGACAGAAAATTGCATTACTTGAAAAAAGATTGGCTACAACGTAAAGCACTCGTTCCTGGAATCAAAAATGTCCTCTTCCAGCCTTTGGTCGATCCTAAAAATATTCTTTTGCCACCTCTGCACATTAAATTAGGACTTTTTAAAAATTTTGTTAAAGCCATGGATTACTTATTTAAAGCAAAAATTTCCTAAAATAAGTGAGGTTAAGATTAAGGAAGGTATTTTTATTGGGCCACAGATTAGAGAATTGCTGAAGGACTCGGAATTTAAACAGCAATTGAGTTCAACAGAAATTAACGCGTGGAACTCATTCAAAAATGTAGTTGAGCATTTTTTAGGAAATATATTGGCTGAAAATTATCGCGATCTGGTGGCTAATCTAATTGATTCATACCAAAAAATGGGCTGCAATATGTCTTTAAAACTTCACTTCCTACACTCTCACCTGGACTTTTTTCCACCAAATCTTGGCGCCGTTAGTGATGAACATGGTGAGCGTTTTCACCAGGATATTTTACACATGGAAAAACGCTACAAAAGAAATTTCACTAACATGTTAGCAGATTACTGCTGGACACCAAAAAGTTACTTACCTGATGCTCAATATGCGAGAAAAACATAAGTAAGTACCATTTTTTAAATTCACGATTTATTTGCTGAAACCCCTTGAATCACCCGTTAATCCGGTTGTCTAAAGAAAACTAGACGTGATAGAAAAAATTTAAGTCCAGATTTGGAATCAGCACCCAAAATACTTTTAGGATCACCCAACAACATATCTAGGAAAAAAAAAATTTTTGTGTAATTTTACAAAAATTTTCTGGAAATTTAATAAAGTATATGGACACTTCGCCACAAAATAGATGATTTTAGGCACACATTGATTTCATCAGCATAGGTTGAACGTTTAATAACTGGTAATGTTTGTCTAAAATCACCTGCCAATAATATTAAAGCCCCTCTTAAAAGTCTATCGGTGGCATTTAAATCTTTAAGTGTTCGATTTAATGCTTCCAATGAATATTTATGTGACATTGTGCATTCATCCCAACCAATGATGGGACATTTTTGAAGTACTTTAGCCATATTTGAATGTTTTTTTTATATTGCAGAAATGCAATAAATAATTGCTTCATTTTAAATAAATATATAATAAAAAATTGGTGAAATTAAATATCATATGAAACTACTATTTCTTTCAAATACATAACGAAAACTATAATTTTATTTAAGTTTAACAATTTAACATAAATGCATTTATTAAGAAACAATATTTTGACCAATTTTCAATTTATTTCAATTAACATTTAGAATTTCTATCTGTCATTTCTGCTACTTCGTAAAAGTTCGAACAATATACACAAAAATACACAAAAATAAACAAAACAGAAATCAGTATCATTCAAACTGTCGGACAGTTTGAAACAGAAATTATTATTTGTTATTTAAGTTAAAATTATAACCAATATCGAATGTTTTAATAGCCTATGTTGCGCTTAGAAACTATATAAATATGATCTGAAACTATCAAGAAGATTAGTTCAGTCATTGAAAAGTTATTGAGTAACAAACAGACGAACAAACGATTATATATATATATATATATATATATAGATAGATATATTTTATAATAATTCATAACAATAATTTATTTCTTTTATTTAATAGTAATATAATAGTAATTATAATAATAAATAAATTGTATAGCAATTATGCTATTTACATATAGCCTCACCTCACCTAGAGAGAAGACCCAAATAAACGAAAATGCTTATCTGGTATCTGGTAAAATGCTTATCTGGACGTATCAAACACGTTGCTCTTTGAAACTGTACCAACTGATAGAAGCTCACCAAACATTGCACCTTTAGCAGCATCGCTTGCAATTTCCGACACAGTAAGTTCAAGAAACAAAATAATCTAAACAGGCATTGAACATTATATCAGTATTAAACGTAAACTAAGTCCTCAAAAAGATGTGTTAAAATAAATGAAACTAATAAAGATATGTACCCACAAACATACTTTCTGATAATAACTTTGCTGAACTAGTTGAATCTACAGAGGAAGTGTTGTTATGTAAAGTACTTTTTTAAATATTAATTGCCTGGCAACTCTGGCCTGCCATTATTCTATATTCCTTTTTCTTATTATTATTCATTACTCATTTTTAGTATAGTTAATAAAGTGAAGTAAAGAACTTGTTAAAAAATACATCGGACC